CCGGCCGACAGCCTGCTACTGACTGCTGGGCGGAGCCAGCCATCATCTCACGGCTGGCTCCAGCCACTAGCACAGACAGATCAGCGTCCCTGCCCAGATAGCAAGGATAACTTGAAATTGTGAAATTTTAATTTTTGTTAACTTGCTGCACATATTCCTGGCAAGTTGTAGACTTGCAGAACACTCGCAGCACAAGTTCTAGTTGACACTTGAATTTGTAGCAAATTTGCTTGGCAAGTCTACAGCAAGAGTCCTGCAGGTCTTAGCAAGAGCTCTACAATGATCAATGATCAATGGTCTGAAGACTTGCAATGTAGACTTGCTGTAATTGTGCAACAAAATTGTGAAGCTCGGCGAGTCTGCAATAGATGAGCAAGTAATTTTCAAACTTGCAGCTCAATTGCTTGCTATCTGGGTGGTTACCAGGTAACCAGGGACACTGTTCTCCAGACAGTCCAACTCTCCCGGGCGCTCCGGGAGTCTCCCGCTATTAGATAGCGGCTCCAAGCAGGTTTACTCTGCTCGATCGAGCAAAGTAAACCTTTCCCTGCTCTGTTTTTTCAGCAGAGGGGATCTGAAGTGAGAAAAGGCCGAACAGCAGCAAGTGTTGGATCGGCTGAGTCGAACTCCTTCTGCACTTCGGGTCGGCTGAACATGCTGGGCATGTTCGGCCGACCTGAAGCCAGCCGAAGCCACCCAATGTACGGCTGATTTTAGCCGATATATGGCTGGAATCAGCCGTACCAGCCTGAAATGAATAGCCGAACAGGGTTCGGCTCACTTCGCTTCGAGTCGGTTAGTCACTCGGCTGCCTGCGGCAGCTTAGTGAATAGACCCCTTAACCTTTTTTCACTTTGCAGTTCTCTACTTATATCCCTTAACATGATCCTGCTTTCACTTCTATTTTTAGATTGAAATCTTAACCTTTTTAATTGTATTTAAAAAATGGTTGGGTGCGCTCCCGCGGCTCCTCTGTTCTTCCTTCACTCCCGGCATCTCTTCTCCAGCAGTTCACGAGCTTTCTCCCCAGAGATACTTTTGTATCACTTTTGTAATACACTGAACTGGCTTGCAGCTCCACAACACAGCGATGCCACTTTAGTAAACTAAATGTCATCCAGTTAGTGCTTACATCTTCTTTAAAGAAAAACTCCAGGCAAATAAACTCTGAATCCTTGCTACCCCCACACTGCAAGGGTTAAGTGCTGGTTTTGTCTAGGGAGCTAAAGTAACAAAGTTATACTCACCTGAACCTCGATCCCGGCTTGCTCCTACACCGTTCCCTGCAGCGGTCCCTGTGAGTCATCACATCCTATACAGTGTATAGAACGTGAGGAGGTACAGTGTGCGGGTAGCCCCAGTGCAAGGGTTAAGATTTGATGTGCCTGGAATTCTTCTTTACCCTTCATTAATCAGAGAGAAACAGATTTTATTGGAACTGGAACAGATTTTATTTTGGTAGACAAAATCACTGGTAGTTATCTTGAGGTGCTAACAGATGATCTGTGAGGAAACATGTGACGTGTACATAATATGTGATATCTCTGTAAGTGTGGTTTCAAGTTCCATGTTCCATGCATCAGTGATAGTGCTCGGAAAGTAGTGACCTTTTTGAATGGGACCATAGTTTTGTACATTTAGGGGATCATTTATCCAGAAGAGCTTATAGAGTAATGTTACTGTCCCTAAGACATAAATGATATCTTCTATCTGTACAATGGTTAAAAAAATTAATCTGTCCAGAATTGGGTCAATAATATCAGATGAATGTGACCGAGTGTCACATTTCAGCTGCAGACTTGCAGCTGAGCTGTTACTTGTAGTTCAAGTATATACATACCTCTTTCCCCTAGTTCTGCAGGCATGTAGGGCTGTGCTGGTGCTTGTAGTCCTCCAGACATGTGCTCTGGACCTGACTCACTCTCGCACCTGTCTGCAAGCTTTAGGGGTCGGCCGACCTCTCCTGCTGTTTCTTATGCAGCTTCTTGGCCAATCAGTGCAGTCTGCTTGTAGCCAATCCTGTGGATCCTCCCTCTTCCTGTCTATTTATACTCAGGGCAGCGAACGGCACGCTGCCCAAGCAACGCTTTCCCAAGCTAGTTGCCGAGTCCCCCATTTGTGATTTACCCTGAATTCCTGGAAGTTTTCCTGTGTACCGGACCTTTGGCTTGTCCTTGGAATTCCCTGCCGCAGTCTACCCTGTACTTCACTTCGTCCCTGGAAGTCTTTAGCCTGTCCCTAACCTTTGATTTGTACCCTATAACTGTTAGGTGAGATGGGTGGACCTAGGGATTGTGACCTGGGGTCAGCACGCAGCCAAGCCCATCTCCACCATCAGGAGCTCTGGTGAATACCGTCTGGCTCTTAGATTCCACATTCTGGGGAACCCCATGCCACCTACTCAGCATCCCATGCCACCTAATCAGCATTGAAGCACCCTGCCTTGTATTTGAACTTCCAGCTTAAGCTTACTTCCTCATTCACATACATGCTCTGTTCCCTGCTTGTACTCCAGCTCTGGGAGCTGTCAGCCTACACTGCTTGCACCTTTTTCTCTAAGTGTGCCTGCCAGTGTAGTGGAAAGGGTCCACATACCTGACTCCAGTTTATACCTGTGAGTCCCAATCCATGACACTGAGCACAATGAATTGTTCATAATACCAATATACATATGCTAATATATTTCTTATATCTCCATCACTCAGCATATTAAATGTGCTAAAAGATGCAATTTACCTTTAAAGTTGAACTGAACTCAAAAAGTGAAGACTTTCTTTGTTAAAAGGGAACATCTAGAAATGTTAATTGTGCCTATGTAGTACCCTGATAAAAAGTACACTTTGTCTTGAATGTTTCCTGAAAAATAGCAGTCAACTTCCCAGTATACAAGTGTGGCACTCTAGAGCCCCCAGCCTCATAGCTGTATATCTGCATTGTGAGATCACTTCTGCCTCTGATTGCTAGTCTCATAAGATTTGGAGTGAGATTTGGTTATGCCTTTACTGTGCTGCTCACTGTTCTCCATGCAGGAGGCTGTCACATATGGAAGCAAAAATCTTGTTCATCCCAAGATGTCTGCCTCCGAGACACAATGCAGAATAAGGTATGGTAAAATATTGGTGACAAGTCCATCTGACTGTTGTTTTGGCACAGCTTCCAGAGTTCAGTTTCTCGTTAAAGTAAGTTGTTAAACGAAAACCAAACAGTCTTACAACTGTGCAATCGATCTCCCTCAGATATGCAGTAGTGCAATTTAACAGTACACCAAAAATATGAATTACTCATTTTGTCTCCTCTGCTTCAATACGGCATTAAATGTTCTCATTCATAAGACTGTTGCATGATTTAAAGCCCAACTCTACCCATTTTCTTTTGAATAGAGTGGGGAATGGTTGAGGCCTGTGTTGGGATTTTAGTTCTGCCTGTGTGCCTCCTCCCACTTTGATCAAGATAGGAAGTGATGGTAAACCTTGCTGCTGGGACACACACAAAACTGCATTTTTAGTAATGGTGGGAAGAATTAGAACTTCTGGCAATATGCCTTCCTGTCCCATTGGTGACTTCAACCCCCATTTCTTTAACATGTGTCAAGGGGAGAGGAAGGAAGGGAAAACCTCCTCAAATATATGGTTAAAGACCATATATAATAAATACCTGACAGAGATTTAAACTCTTCCTGTCTCTATCCTTAACTATGGAGCCACTCTTGTGTGTTCTAGGAAGCTGTGTGTGTGTCTCCACAAAAACACAGAAACAGCAAGGCAAGACACGCCCCTGCTCCCTGCTTCCTGCTCCTCCTTCCTCCCCTCTTTAAGCTAGTAGATGGACAGCTGTTGGAGATTGTACTATCCTTTTGTGATCTTGTGCTGAGCAGGAAGTTCAGGAAAGTGGAGCTGAGAGAGTTGGAACCACCTCTTTTGAAACATTACTGTAAGTGTGGGTAAAATATAATGAAATACTTTACTGAGAAAGTTTGAGAAATTACATCACCGCCATATACACTTTAAGAGATTAATCTCCCAACAATCACCATTCAGTAACTTGTAATTTTTTTTAATCTCTGAAATAAAAATGACTTTTGTAGGTCTAGCTGTATTGTCAAGTCGTGTTCTTATCAGAGAGAAATGAAAATAATGACAGCAGAATACAGGAATTATAAAGTCTTTACTGGAGATACTAATATACAACCATTATAGATAGGAGCTGTGTACATTTGGTAGGATCAGTAGTAGTAGTAGGAGTTCAGCAGCCAAAAAGCACACTACATGAAAAACTACATGAAAACTTTGATAATGCAGTTATAGGCTTATTTTTTTATGGACACATTGCCATTGCTTATTTTGAAATTTATTGCTGATATAGATAAGTTTGAAGAACAATGATATAGCCTTTGCTTAGCCAACCATGCCCGTTTCTTTACACTCTACTGTAGGGTCTTTTATTGGAATCAGCTTGTAAGAACAGCTTGCCTTGTCAAACACACGCTCACAATTCTCTTTGTCATATCCGAATGGTGTACCATATCTATATAAAAAGAAATTAATTAAAACTATTTTACAGCAAAGATGTCACAGTCCATAAAAACAGAAATATAAACAGTTTGAAAAATAAATATTTTTGGGTCAATTTAATTTTGCTTGCATGATTCAAAGAGTATTAGGCTTTAAGAAGAGAAAACAGCAGAAGCTTTCACAGTCTCCGTCTAACTGAAAAGTCTGTATATAGTCATACAAATGGGAGGGAGAGGGGTTTGGGGGTGAACTATTGAATTCTCTGTTAAAGGAGAACTATGAGGTGAGTGCTTTTCACTTACCTCATAGTTCTAGCCGACCTGTGACAATGAGACTGTCACAGGTCGGCTCAGTAGATCGGGAGGTGAGCGAACACATACCGGCGTTCGCTCACCTCTCGATCCTGTCACGGCTCTCTGCCGTGACAGGGGAGGGGCTGGATTCCGCCCTCCCCACTCCTAACCGCCAGAGCTGACTGGCGGAACGGACGGGGCGGGTACAGCTGGCTCTGCCTCTAGATATGAAGAGCCAGCTGTCAGTCACGCAGCTGGGCGGATCCCGGCACAATTGTCGGGATCCACTTCAGCTGCGGCGTCTCAGTATAGCGCGAGCAGCTGCTCGCGGTATACTGTGGCGTCTCAGTATACCGCGAGCTACAGTATACCGCAAGCTCAGTATACCGCAAGCTACAGCTCGTGGTATACTGAGCCTAGGGTGACGGGAGGACGCTAGTTTGTGTCCTCCCGTTACCCTAAGGAGAACTATGGGGAAAAGACTTAACCCCATAGTTCTCCTTTAAGGATAGACTGATAAACACAAGAAAAAGAGACTGGAGCTCCACCTACTGGCTGGAAATGTAGCAAATGTTTGTTTACATTTACCTAACAAAAAAATTAAATGGAAAAACATTGAGCGTTCCCTTTGAGTTCAGTCTGTTGTAAAGTATGATTGAAATAGATATATTAGGGGTATATTTAGGGTGTATGCTTATGCATTGCAGGAAATTATTTTGGCTGATGTTATTTAACACACCTATGCTAACAAGGTTTTTATTGTGTAAGTTTCTTCACCAGTTGACCATCCTATTTTCAGGGTGTTGATTGTACACAATGGAATAACTGTAGGGAATTTTGTCAAAACCTGTTTAGTTAACTAACATCAAAAGAGGTAATTAGACCAGCCAATCAGAAATCCTTTCAGTGTTAGTGAAAGGCACTATACTGTATATGAATTCAGAGCCTAAAGTGGTTGGGAGAATCAGAGTCATGAAGAGAGATGCATAGTTGCTCATATAGATAGGAAATGCAGTATATGCTGGGTGGAGTGGGTCCTTATGGAGCCTTTGTCCTCTGAGATCTAGATAGGTCACTAACTATAACAAGTGTTCACATTTTGTGCAAAACCTGCTTCTCCAGTTTTTAAAATCAACCCTAAGAAGAAATCCAAACATTCAGCAAAATATTCTGTAGAGTTTCCAGTTTTTACTCTTTCTAACTAAATATATAAGACAAAGTTCAAAACAATGAGTGCCAATGTATTATATGTATACACACACAGGGCCGGATTTACTCTCCTTGCCGCCCCAAGGCCAGGTTCCACAATAC